GCTCTGGCACTGATGCAGATGGGTCAGCCTGCCCTCTTATACCTGGTGCCTTGCACGCTCCTCACCAGCCTTGCGGTGGCACTGTGGCGCAAAGAACTGCCTTTGTTCTGGACAGGAAGTGGATTTGTGGTGAATACCAGTTTGATATGAGTGCCTTCTTCAGTCGGAAAAGTTCTAGGGTTATGTACAGTTACTAGACTTACAGTTGAGTAAATTCACCCACGTGTTTTTGTTCCGCTCTTAATTTGCTCTCATTTTTACTGTGGGTGTTTTCTTTAAAAGAGGGGTTCGGTGTCAACCTTGGGAAGAAAACGGTCGTTTCCAATATGTCCTTAACACAAAATCTACACCCTTTGATTTCACAGACATTTGTTTAAAATGTTTAGAAACATATACAGCATAGATCCCTGAGATCCTGAATGGAAACTAAAAGTGAAAGGAGATTTTACAGAGATTTTGAAGGCTTTAGACAAATGCCTGTGTGACTGAACTTATTATATCCAATTGTATTTCTTTAAACCACAGTATGAGGAATTGCTGTGCTACGGAGTGATATACACGATTTAAAACCACCGTTTGATAAACACCAGATCTCTCCTGTACTTGTAGGTCTGGTAAGAGATCTGTGTGTGCCAGAAGAGGGCTTATGTTTCATTTTCTCAGGTCTTTAGCTTACGGTGTTCTAGCTTTTAATCTAATAATCGGCCTGGAGATTTGTTGGTCTTGAGTTAATCTATGGTGGTTTCCTGTACGAGAAGATCCGTGTTATCTCCTCTGATTTTTCGCTTCTTCACTAAGTTACAGATCAGAAGCCGTTTTTTGAAGTGATTCTAACATTTTTCTTCTGCTTTAAATTGCAATTGCATTGGTATTACTGTCTATATTTTTTATATACACTGCCATTCAAATTTTTGGAAGAAGTCATCAAGTCTGCATTAATTTGATCAAAAATACAGTTTAAAATAATTGTTTCCTATTTGAATATATTGTGAAAATGTAATTTATTCCTGTGATGAATTTTCAGCAGCCATTACTCCAGTCTTCAGTGTCACATGGTTCTTCAGGAATATGCTAATGCGATGCTCAAGAAAGAAAAAAAAAAATAATTATTATCAGTGTTGAAAATGTTCAAAACAATTGTGCTGCTCAATGTTTTTCTGGACACCGGGGTACTTTTTCTTCGGGATTCTTTGATGAATAGAAAGTAGAGCGTTTATTTGAATGCCTTGATCACTTTTTTTTTTTTGATGTGTCCTTGCTGAATAAAAGTATTAATTTTTATTCAAATTAATAAGTGTTTTAAAAAAAATCTTGCTGACCCCAAATTTTTGAATGGTAGTAACACTTCAAAGAGAAAGGAAAAATTGAAATCGCATCATATGACCCCTTTAAATACTAAGAATTTAATAAAAAATGTAAACAATTTATTTTAATTACAATTTTTACTTCTATTTCATCATATGTGTCTCATTTCATCCTCAGCCGCCTCCCATTGTCATGGAACAAATCAACTGTACTCAAACCCCAGGACCGTCCACAGATGAACCCCGGTCCAATCCTGAGCCGCCGGACTCTGAAACGACCAATCAGTGTGAGGACCCTCCTCCACCAGCACAAGAGGAAGTTCCACATCTTACAGAGGGATCTACTACATAAAGACAAAAGACTTGAAGGATGCTCATTTCTTTTTCATTTTTTGAAGTCAGTTATATATCTGACCATATACGTAATAGACTTGAGCAGTATGAACATCTCAGTGCACTTGTTTTAAGCCTTTGAAATTGTACAGTCCATTTGAATCGAAGGAGGAGGAGACACAACACTATCAGCTGTGCTTCATCCAGCTTGCTTCAAGTTCACATTTGGTGGCATTAGGAAGGCATCGCATGGACCGTTTTTATCTTCTTCACGAGGATCTCAACTCTGAGTGTTATTTTGTCTCCCTCTTTGTTTTTCGTAAATTAACGTTCTCTCAGTACATGAAACAAAGTGCAGCTAGACATTTTAAAACAAATGTCAAGAAAATTCAAGACAGCTCACTGAAAATATTTCTATTTGGCTTCCAGTTGATACTGCATTGCTGACAGGTTCTGTCCTTGTCATAACAGCGCTGAAGTATTGCATCCTTTAAAATACGGTGCTAATAAGGACTGAATGAACCAAAGGCTTTGGGAATAAAGATTTATTAGTTTCATCCTCAGTTTTGAGATACGAATGCTGGGGGTTGATAAGATTGTTAATCGTTTATATCACGGTACGCTGTATAATTCAGAGCAGCACTGTTACACAAGGCCACATAATTTAACAAAAACGTCCTTATTGGTTTGGAATGTGATTTCAGCGTTAGTTATATTGAAATAGATAATATTCATATGCTCATGGCTTATTGAAAGCATTGTATTTAGAATGTGCTGTTTACTTGATGGAAGGGATGTTTGAGATTTCAAAATAAAAAGTGCAAACATTTTTAAAAGTGCAGTTTTTAAGAATAATTTCCTGCCCAACTATTGAGTGACAGTCCTTCTGTTTTATAGTAGGATTTTTGTATTCGTGGTACTTTTTAAAGTTGTTTTTCAGTGAAAAGCACTGATATTATTTTCTCAGTATGATTTAAGTTTTAAATTACATCAAGTTTATTTAAGAAGTTTATGTGGCACCGTTGTCTCATTGAAATCTTTTTGACTTGGCTACAGTGTGTTTTGCTTTTATTGGGCCACTGTGATCATGTGGAATAACATGGACAAGTTGTAATCGAGATATTTTGTCCGTTTATTAATACTCCTGATGTCTGGCGGTCGTGTGTCATAGATCTTCAGAGTCATGTATGCTGAAGCTCTCGGTTAGAGATCAACGTGCTGTAAAAGTGTGATTTTGAAAAGTTGTTAAAGAGAGCACATATTAAAGGGATAATGCATTATGTTATGTGGTGTATTGTGGTGTTTTAATGTGTGATCACTTGAGAAATACTTAGGATATTCACTGGCAAAAATGTATTGTAAAATAGTTCATGAGTTCGTCCTCCCACATTAAAAGGTAAGCAGTAAAGTGTAGCAGTATAATTGTGGGTTATATTTTATCAAATTATGAGTCATTGTGGTTGGGACCTGGAAATGACCCTTACTAAACTGTGATTTTACCATCAGAGCATTTGTTTCACTGTCTCTCATCTGGTTCACTTGACTCTCTTTGAAATCCAACTCCAGGCTATAATGTTGAACTTTATGACCAAGGTAAAAAAAAAAAAAAGCATTTTTATCTCATATAAACTATTGTGGCTGAAATTAGCCATACTGAAACTGTCTTAAGTGGAACGAACACCTTGTTAGCGACTAAATATTATTAAAAATGTCCGGAACATTTGAGTATTTCATATGGTTGCATTGCAAAAAAATAAACTGCATTATAAAATTCCACGTTTTTCATGATCCACAAAACTACAAAAATATTTGGGTTGTATTTAGTGGTTCATGCCAGCAGACTGCTGATTTTTTTAGTGTACGTCGAGGTGGTAACGTAATAATATCGTGAACCCTCCCATAATGCCCAGAGAACATCAGAAATGTAGTTTATGAACAAGTTGTTATTCCCGAACTATCCTGCCTTCCTTAAAGGCTTAGTTCACCCAAAAATGAAAATTAGCCCATAAATTACTCACCCTCAAGTCATCCTAGGCGTATATGACTTTCTTCTTTCAGACGAATCCAGTCGGAGTTATATTAAAAATTGTCTTTGATCTTTCAAGCTGTTTCATGGCACTCAGTGGCTGTTGCATGCATCAGTCCAAAAGAAGTTAAATAAGTGCCTATCCATAAAAAAAAGTCTCACACGGCTCCGGGGGTGGGGGTAGTTGGTGAGGTAGCGAATAATATCCATATTCAAAACGTAATAATCACTTTAATGTAGCTTGCGCTCACTGTTGTACACTGGAAGCAGCTCCGGGCGGATGACGTATGAGGTTAGCTTTGTGCATACGCTGCTCAGAAGTGACGCACGAGGAAGCGCAGGGGACAGATCAAAACAAAACAACGGTCACTAATTAGAAGTACAAAACGAGGATTTGTAAAGAAGAATGTTGGAGGATTTCGATATAAGCCAAGAGTAGACTGGTTTTCCTTTGCTAAAATAAGGAAACTTTGCTTCTGTTAACAAACGTTGGTTTCCACGAGACTCAATGGCGCATGCAAGATCAAAGACAATTTTTAATATAACTCCGACTGGATTCGTCTGAAAGAAGAAAGTCATATACACCTAGGATGACTTGAGAGTGAGTAATTTATGGACTAATTTTCATTTTTGGGTGAACTAACCCTTTAAGTTGCACGGGTATATTTGAAGCCAACAATACACTGTATGGGTCAAAATTATCGATTTTTCTTTTATGCCAAAAATCATTAGGATATTAAGTAAAGATCATGTTCCATGAAGATATTTTGTAAATTTCCTACCGTAAATATATCAAAACTTAATTTTTGTTTAGTAATATGCATTGCTAAGGACTTAATTTGGACAACTTTAAAGGCAATTTTCTCAATATTTAGATTTTTTTTGCACCCTCAGATTCCAGATTTTCAAATAGTTGTATCTCAGATCCAACTATTGTCCAAATATTGTCCTATCCTAACAAACCACACATCAATGGAAAGCTTATTTATTCAGCTTTCAGATGATGTATAAATCTCAATTTCGAAAAATTGACACTTAAGACTGGTTTTGTGGTCCAGGGTCACATATGGTACTGCATATTCAAACTTAACTTGTAGTGATCAATTTAAAGGACACGTGAGAAGACCAGTGGAATTTGGCGTCACTGTGGAAAATGGCAGCGTGGACGTCTTATGGACAGCGTGAGGTTGATTAAATGAGTAAATGATCACTTTTGGGCAAAATAGCCGTTTTTCTGTGAATAATGACAAACAGTGTGAAGTAAAACTGAGTACACAGGTTTTATGTTTGTTCATGTAACACAGCAAATGACAAGCACTTAAAAGTGCAACAGTTCTCTATGAGAGAAAAAAAAAAAAGCTGCGTTTGTTCTGCACTATTTACAATGAACATTTCTAATTAAGACAGTCTGTATTTTCTATGTATAAAATCAAATTAATGATCCAACAGAATTGTGCCATGCAGTATAACATTTAGAAACTAAAAGAAATACACCGTGGTACCTTTGACATTCAGTAGTAATGAGCATTTATCCCCAACTCATAAAAGAAAAACAAGGCTATTTTTTTTTCTAAAACACTACAAAATATTTGCTCAAATATAACATAATTCTCCAGTTAACAGAAGCAAAACAATGTAAAAGATCCCTCGATTGGCACAGAAACTGGAGAAAAACTCCAAAAGTAAATTTACCACACATTAAATAGATCTACACTTTTTTGAGAGAAGCTCTTGATTACATGTCTCCTACAAAGAGTCCAGGAAGAACGCTAAAACTTTCCAGTGCAACACTTGTGGGGCCAAACATCCCTGAATTAAAATCACAAAAAATAACTAAAAACAGCTATTTACAGGAACAACAAATCATTGAGACAGACCTGAACAGGATTTTGTTCTGATATACTGTGACTGTGATTTAATTTCTTTGAAAAATGCAGGTCATGTTAGAGAAATAAGAATCCCTCTGCAACAATGTTGTAGTCTCGCAGATTGCACAGGGTTATTAAAAGTAAAATATGTCTTCTGCAATTGCGTTGTCTTTGGTTTTACAGTGTCCTGGCTGGGTACTGTGTGTGATATGATTGTGGTTGTGTTTCCTGATGCTGTTTCCTGAATGAGAGGGTATGGAGCTGGATAACTGCTCTGGATGGACAAACATATCTACAGAAACACCACAGAAATGGATTTACTAATGCAAAAACACATATGAATGGTGAATAGTTTAAAAGACTAAAACAGTGCTGCTTTGAAGTAATATGAAGATACACAGTGTACAAAGAGAAAAAAAGGCAGAATAAGAAACGATAATTCACCACCCCAAAAAATCATACAGGCTTGGATTAAAATGAGGGTGAGTAAATTACTGAATTTAATTCCTAGGTGTACTATTCCTTTAAACAAAGAAAATTGAACTTTTTAACCAGGAACAGACCTATCCCAAGAGAGAAAGAAGCTGAACTTAAGGTGAGATACAGAATCAAGAAGTTTCACCTGGATGGAGCCGGTGGGGACTTTTGGATCTCATGGCTCTTAAACTGCCTCCTTCCTTTCCTAGACCTTTTATGGGAAGTACCTGAGACACCTCTATGCCAGCTAAAAGTGTGAAAAGACATTCGAGTTCAATTAAAATCAACTAAATCTTACCGTTATATATTTACCACTGCCCACAAAACAAAACATCAGCTCACAGAATGTACTGGAGTTATTAAAGCAGTTCATACCTGCACTCTTGGTGCGATGGTGGGAATTCCTTTGCTTGCTGTGCTTCTCCTTGCCTTTAGTTTGGGCAGCCAGCTTGGTGGGGATCTTTTGCTGGACAGAGCTGGCTTTGTGGGATTGGTTGGTGGTGCTAATGAGGTGAATGGGCACTTCTGGTTTAACTGGAAGGTTGGCGATGCTCTCCCTGCGTGGTGGTACCAGAGGAGGCCTCTCGTCGAAGCCGGGAGTAACAATATTCAATATGGGGTAAGGTGGAGGTAGCTAGAAAGGCAGGCAAGTTTATGCATGTACACATATTAGGTACTTTAATTGTGATTTCTATTATTTTGTCACCCATCATACCTTTATCTGTTCATTCTCCATGGGAAAGGTTGCAGTGTTCAGTACATTCTCATTTTTCTTATACTTCTTCTCCAGCTGCTCCAGCCTTTCTCTGTCCTTCTCCAGCTTCTCTCTGTCCTTCTCTACAGAGCGCATGGAGTCTCGGAGCCGCTCCAGATCCTCCTGGTATTCTGATTTCCACCTGGCCAGTTCCTGTTTTTCCTCTGCCAACTTTTTTTCCTGTTCGCTGCATTCCAGCTCTCTGTCCCTCAGCTCCTTCTCCCTGATCTCTGCCTGCACCCTCTGCCGCTCTCTTTCCTGCTCCCACTGCACCTGCTCCTGTCGGTGCTGATTCTGGAGCCGGTGGAAGTTGGCCAGCTCCTCGCGCTGCTTTTCCAGGTTCCGATGCTTTTCCTTTTCCAAGAGAGTATTGCCCCGGGGTCGGGACATCAGCTCCTTAATAGTGGCGCGTTGTACCACTATGTGGCTCTCTAGCTGCTGGACGACAGACTGAGAATGGAAGGGAACAGATGAAGAAATTATTTGTGTTGATCTGAATCTACACAGATGAATCGTTTATTTAAAATGATAAATCAAAGGCAAGAGATAATGAATCATTTGATAATCATTTGACAATTATGAGAGTGAAGCACTACATGAAATGCATATTTAAAGTTTGGATTACCTGAAGGCTGTAAAGCTTCTGAGACAGTTTAGTTACAGTGTCATAAAGCTGTGGAAATAAAAACAGATTATGTTCAATTAAAGTTAAATATGTTTGAAGTGAACTACACAATAGAATATTAGAATATTACACACTGCAGTCACTTATGTTAGTTTGTGCGTACTGGTTGTCATAATAAAGGTACAAACTTAATCATAGCAGCATAAAAACAAGAAGAAGTGTTCTGGTCACCTCATAAAACCCCTAAAAATATATCTGCACAACAAACGAAGAACACCCCCCCCTGAAATCAGGTTTGCATTTAATCCAGATCTGTACATAAAGATTTGGGATATTTAGGGCACTGACTCATTCAACCTTACGCTGTCGACATTCACATATGATTGTTGCATTTTGCCTCTTAGTGGCAGTCGCACAGAAATTTGGTTATGAAGCAGCTGTTCACCATGGTAAAATTAATGATTAGTCAATATTAATAATTTTGGAAATAATTATTCATAAAGGCCCAATGCTGTTTAAGGAAAAACATTTTACTGGAAAAACATATTGGTAATTCTCACATTGCACTCATAGTTTTTATTAGAATACATTTCATTTGGACAGGCGGTCACATACATTCTAGTCTCAAACTTTTTTTAAAAATAATATTAACATTTTAACACTGTCGTCAATTTTCAGACATACTGAATAGGCGGCTTTAGAGTTATCACAATGTCAGTCATCAGAAGTTTTGGGTAAAAGAGTCTTTATTCCAAACAAACAGTATAATCAAATATTAAATCTCACCTCTGTTTTAGGAAAGAAGGCTGAAGGATATGCACTCCAGCTCTGTAGAGTTATCTCCTCATCTGCCTAAAGGGTCAAAAGCAAGAACATACAATCTGGTTTACATTCCAGTACCACTGCAAAAAATAACAGGTATGATACTTTAGTGTCAGCTCACCGACAGCTCCAGGTATTCATCAGAATAAAGCTCTCTGTGCTGAGGGTCCGAGTTGGCCCACTGACTTCTGTCCCTCTTTCTTTCCATTAAACTATCAATACCATCTGCAAATAAGTCCAATAGTTAATGGGAATGAATATATAACTATTAGACTAGTGTCATGAAATAAAGTAGATATTTTTTGAAAGCTTCTCTTACTTCCTGGCAGCATGCAGGCATCACTGTCAAAGCCTGTGAAAACATCGGGTCTCTTGTATAATGGGACCAGATCCATCCCCTCTCCAGAGGAAGGAGTTTGGCCCTGCTCACATGTTACCAGCAAGTTCTGTAAAATCTCCACTGAAGAAAGATTTAGCATTCAAATACATCACATTAATCTAATATACATATAAGCAGATGTATGTGTGTGAAAAAACATTATAAAAGGTGTAAAAAAAAGAAAGAAGAGCAGATCAGATCAATTCCTATTCTGTTTTTATTTGAGCTCCATAAGGTGAGACGTCACACCAAGGATCATTCACTTGCCATTTATTGTAACTGTCAGGAACTATTTATTACTACAATGGAAGGATGGCATTTAATTAATTTACTTCAAAAAGGTAACATATCAATACATAAATTTTCAGTTTTAATATCTGTATTGTGTGGTAATCATTTTATAAAAGCAATAATATAACTGCTTAAAATAATATAATATAAAATAAAAATAAAATAAAGGTAACCCAAGCTATCTCTATTCTACAGAGCTGTACTTTTATACCATAAAACATCAATACTGAATATAAACACAAATTCCCTTTGCTACTGTGCAGTGAAAGTCTCACCATCTTTTACAGCTCCAATGAGAAGTTGTTCCCCCTGCAGGGGCTCTGCTGCATTCCCATGCAGCAGATGGCGCTCACTTGGTGAGATGTCGGTAACACCTGTCACATAGGCTGCCATGCTGGAGAATAAACTCTGCTTCTCTTTAAGGTGCAGCTCGATCAAGGCATCACACACACAAAGATTCCCTGCTCAGAAAACACCATTCAGAAAAAAAAGACAACATTAAATGTGACGACAGCTCATTTTACAGCAGAGAAAGAAGGACTAAAATCATAGATTGTGATACAGAAATGTGCATGTTACTTTGAAAGTCTTGGATCCTCTCAGGAAGTTCTTCTGGCTCCTCTTTCTCCTCTTCAGGACAGCTGAAACAAAACCAGAATACTGACGTTAGAAATAATCCCAGAAACATCTTGATATATTACTCATATATTTTCGATTTTTTTTTAGATAAATGTTTACATATATCCAGTTTAACGTCCAATGACAAATATAAGTAAGCCATACAAAGGCTGACTTTCACTGCAAATTGCAACTCATCTGTCATTTTCTTCACTGCACGAGTTTGTGATTGCAATAGTCTGACACATTTTTAGCCTTTTGATTGACATGACGTAACCAGCTCACAATCACCCTTAAGAAGTACTATTTGTTAATAATTTACTTTTTTCAATGTAATATATACTACAGTACAAACGTCTGAGGTCAGTAAGATTTTTTTGAAAGAAATTAATACTTTTAGTCATCAAGGACACATTAACTTAAAAATTGACAGTAAAGACATTTATAATGTTAGACTGAGATGCATAAGCAATTTACTTCTTATGTTTGTGATTTAGTTACCCCTTACATGCCATCTCGTCCTCTACGTTCTGCTGATTCTCTTTTCCTCCATCAGCCCCACTGTAGATTAAAAACTATGGGACAGAGAGCTTTCTCTTACGCCGGCCTAAGGTTATGGAATGTTCGAAGCACTCCCACACTAAGCACTTTTAAGAAACTGTTGAAAACCCACCTTTTTAAAATTGCTTACCATGATTAAGTGTCAGCTGCTGATTAGGGTATTGATTTGTTTTATATTGTATTCCATACTGTATTATTGTATTTTACTATGTTGTAGCTTTGGGTGTGAGAAAAGCGCATTATAAATAAAATGTATTATTATTATTATTATACAATTTCTATTTTAAATAAATGCTTCTGAGCTTTCTATTCCAAGAAACCTGAAAAAAAATGTCAGTTTCCACAAAAATTGAAACATTGATAAGATTTGAAGACATTAAAGGGGTCATGCTTTTTTAAAGATCATTATTTTGTGTATTTGGTGTAACAGAATATGTTGACATGCTTTAATGTTAAAAAACAATTATTTTTCAAATACTGTACACTATTGTAGTTGAAACGGTCGTCCATAAAATGCATTGCTGTTCTGTTGTAAGTAATCTTAAAGATTCCTAAATGCATCTACTTTCGGAAGGCCAAATAAAGTGCTTTTGCTTTCGCCTAGAAACACAGCGTCTCCCTGACATGGCTGCTTCAATACTAACTGTTACTGAAACCACGCCTTCTTTCTTTGTGTGAACATTTGGGCGGCATTATGCAAATATTTCCACATAGTGATGTAGATATGTGGGGGTGTGTTAGAACCAGCCGTTTTAGGGGGCGTGGCAGAGTCTTAACTTTGATAAAGAATATCTCTTTGGTTTTGAGACTTTAGTCTTTGCAACTTCAGGGATCTTATCTATTCACAAACAGCTTGTAACACTCCAAAGAGAAAGGAAAACTTGAAATCGCATCATATGACCCCTTTAAAACTTCAAACACTGATGCTTCATGTAATAAATGTTATTATAATAATATTTCAGATTAGAATATTTTGATCAAATAAATGTGGTGAACATAAGAGACTTTTAAACATTAGTGTATTCTTAAAAAAATGACTGCTTATAAAACACACTGTTCCACGGCCTTCCAGATTTGGTCTCTCCAGGTTTTGCGCTCCTCTCCGGAGGAGGTGTGAAACTCATACATCTCTGGAGTGTCTGAGGAGGCTGAGATCAGAAACAAGGCCTTCTCGTCATGAGCCACATCACGCACAATGAGCTTCAGCAGTGAGATCACCGCAGGCTTACCGTCCTACAGGAGCACATTAGACAGCTGACATTTAATGATAATGACAACTGTAAACTAGACATAAACGACATGCCAAATTATTACATTCTGCTCACCAGAGAGGCAAAGGTAAGTCGCTGATCTTTCTCCAGTAACAGCAGCAAAACATCTGACAACAGCAAGACAAGGACATCTAAAGGCATATGAGAGAAAATACTAATATGTCAGTTAGTTATCAGATGAGCAAAGCAAAATTACAGATAATTACAGAAAAAAATAAGCAAAATGGCCTACAGCATCAGATCCCGAGTTGATGGGAAATAACAAGAGATGAAAATGCAAATTAAACTATAATGTTTTAATGAATTTCTATTAAAGGTGCTGTATGTAGGATTGACACCGAGTAGTTGAACTAGGTATTGCAGTTCAAATTCAAAATATTGGGAGAGGGTTTTTTCACCCGGCCCCTCCTCCTCAGACTTGATGCACACGCAGGTTGCTAGATTGACTACACCAACAGGAACGAGCACACTTGACGATAAATGAAATTAAATACGCTGTGTTTTCCGCCAAGTAGGATTGACGCCGAGTAGTTGAACTAGGTATTGCAGTTCAAATTCAAAATATTGGGAGAGGGTTTTTTCACCCGGCCCCTCCTCCTCAGACTTGATGCACACGCAGGTTGCTAGATTGACTACACCAACAGGAACGAGCACACTTGACGATAAATGAAATTAAATACGCTGTGTTTTCCGCCAACTGGCAACCCGGGGTTTTGAGACTTTAGTCTTTGCAACTTCAGGGATCTTATCTATGCACAATCAGCTTGTAACACTCCAAAGAGAAAGGAAAACTTGAAATCGCATCATATGACCCCTTTAAAACTTCAAACACTGATGCTTCATGTAATAAATGTTATTATAATAATATTTCAGATTAGAATATTTTGATCAAATAAATGTGGTGAACATAAGAGACTTTTAAACATTAGTGTATTCTTAAAAAAATGACTGCTTATAAAACACACTGTTCCACGGCCTTCCAGATTTGGTCTCTCCAGGTTTTGCGCTCCTCTCCGGAGGAGGTGTGAAACTCATACATCTCTGGAGTGTCTGAGGAGGCTGAGATCAGAAACAAGGCCTTCTCGTCATGAGCCACATCACGCACAATGAGCTTCAGCAGTGAGATCACCGCAGGCTTACCGTCCTACAGGAGCACATTAGACAGCTGACATTTAATGATAATGACAACTGTAAACTAGACATAAACGACATGCCAAATTATTACATTCTGCTCACCAGAGAGGCAAAGGTAAGTCGCTGATCTTTCTCCAGTAACAGCAGCAAAACATCTGACAACAGCAAGACAAGGACATCTAAAGGCATATGAGAGAAAATACTAATATGTCAGTTAGTTATCAGATGAGCAAAGCAAAATTACAGATAATTACAGAAAAAAATAAGCAAAATGGCCTACAGCATCAGATCCCGAGTTGATGGGAAATAACAAGAGATGAAAATGCAAATTAAACTATAATGTTTTAATGAATTTCTATTAAAGGTGCTGTATGTAGGATTGACACCGAGTAGTTGAACTAGGTATTGCAGTTCAAATTCAAAATATTGGGAGAGGGTTTTTTCACCCGGCCCCTCCTCCTCAGACTTGATGCACACGCAGGTTGCTAGATTGACTACACCAACAGGAACCGCACTTGACGATGAATGAAATGAAATACGCCATGTTTTCCGCCAACTGGCAACCCGGTGTGCCGAAATACAAATGGGTAAACTGGCAGTGGGCGGGTTTCACAAACCAAAACAGAGACCGACATTCCGGCCCGGAACGCACATTTTCAAAGGAGAATAACTGACTGTAGCATTGTTTTTCAGATAAACAAGTATGTTAACTTAGCATGTTTCTTAAATATCTGCAAACATATTATGGTATTTTTATGCTTTAGTAGAGTCAAAAACTAACATACAGCACCTTTAATAAGTCCAGTGATAATGGATCTGTTATTGGCAGAGTGATCACCTTTGCTTTTGTTAGAAGTTAGCCTCCAGTTGAGAATGCCCTCATGAAGCAGCCTCCTCTCACCCTGCAGCATGTCCTCTCTGCGGAACACTCTTCCGTGGGTCATCTTGACCTGGGACTTGGGCTCCAGTTTACTGCTCAAGTCCCTCAGCCGTGCTGCTTTCTCAAACTCGTCAACGTGGGTATTTACTTGTGATATGGTGTTTTTCAGCAGTTCCAGACCTTGTACAAGGTTCCTATGCTCCTCTGAGTCAACTTGAGATGTTGAATAACATAAAAAAAAAAACCTTACTGACCCCAAACTTTTAAACATTAAGTGTAACTTTTTTGGAGTTACATTTACATAAACTATATAGTTTTATAGTTTATACTATATATAAACTATAAAAACTCAAAACAGAACATATTGTTTTCTTGAAAGAAAAATAAAACTACTTAATTTAAAAGCCGTACCTGTAGTGTATTTAATGACACGTTCAAACAAAACTGGATACTTTGTGATACGCTGTGTTATAAGGAGAATAATCTCTGGTATTCCTAATCTCCGCAAAATAGACATCTGACATACTTTCTGAGGACAGAAAATGGTGTTGTTATCAGAAAGTGAAATTATTAATTGAATATTATTTATTTAAAAAAAGAATATTATAAAACTATTTCAAGAAGTTCTTTTAAAACTTGACAACAAAAGGTCAGATCTTACTCGTATAAAACTCTGGAACTTCTTGTTGTTTTGCATCAAGTCTTTGTAGAAGCTGACTGCATCGGTGTGGTGACTGCAGAACACTCCATAGCAGTATTGCAGTCTGTCTCTTATTTCACCTGAAAACTACACACACAATCATACACGCAGATCAGAGAGTAGTACCATTGTTAAAAGTAAAAGATTTTTATAACAACGCCAAAGGTTAATAAATAAATATTCAGGATATTTACACACCAAAACTTTTAAAATCAGTAATGAACACTGCTTCATTTAATCATACATTACCATTTAAATGTTTGGTGTCAGATTTTTTCAATGTTTTTGAAAGAAGTCTCTTATGCTCAGCATATGCTATATTTATTTGATCAAAAATACAATAATATTGTAAAACATTATAACTGTTTTCTATTTTAATATATTTTAAAATTGATGAATACTGATGAATTTTCCGCTGCCATTGCTCCAGTCTTAGGTGTTACACAGTTGTTCTAGCAATGTGGTTCATTATATTTACTATGAACATATTCCACAAAAAAAAAAAAAAAAGTTCTCAAGTTAAAGCCTAACAAAAAATGTTTTAGTAAAATGCTTGAATACTTTGATAATTTGTTATATAATGCAATGACATTAATACATTAAGTACAGCTTGAGTATCCAAATACTTTTTGGGGCCATTGTATGGCAACCTAATTTAATTTTGAAACAATAATTCCATTCATTTCAGGAAGCACCTGCTGCTTAGCTCAGCTCTGGGGAATGTGGACTCAAAGATCATATGAAGGACAATAGCTATAACTGACAGTTTGGTGATCCAAAGCATGCAGCTTGAGAAATCAAAGTCTAATCCAGGTCAGTAATTGGTCTTTTGTTGTATAACTAGCTATTGATCCTCAAGCCTTTAAGGCATATACATCTGGAATATTGGGAATCCTACAGCAGATATATAATAAAGATACCTGTGCCATAAGAATGTCTCCAATTCTGTGGATGCAGTAATTCTGGGTACTGCCTGGCTCCAAGGAATCGATTCTTCGCTGTTTAAGGCGGTTGAGGAAAAGCTGGTGTACCTGCAGCAGGCTGTCCACCTGTGGAAACAGTCTTTCCAGCTGTGTCTCATCCATTTGCAGGGTCTCACGCAGTTCCCGCACGTATACGCCCAAAACCAGCTTTAGCGTCCGCACATGGTTTATTTCTGTCTGAATCAGCTCTGCCATGATAATGATAACACACTTTTAAAAGATCACGTACACTGCAAATTATTAACTTTTCTATGACAATGAGACAAAAAAGACGTAACAAAAACACATACCATGTATTACATCCTGTCTTTTAATGTCCTCTTTGGACAAGTCTTTTAAATATTGCTGGTCAACAGCTAAACTCCAGGTGGGAGCCTCAAAGTCCCGAGCATCTGCTTCCAAATCTTCACGTAGCGCATTATAAAGTCCATCTGTGTAGAAGAGGAGTAAATATATATTTCCCTTAACATCAACAAACAAATCTGTGATCATGACACGTTTAAATCACATAGCTACAGTAACTAAACAAGTTAAATATCCAACCATCAATACTGATGGTGTCAGCAGAGTATGTCAACTGGAAATTGGAATCTTCTGTCAAGGGCTTGAATCTCACAGAATCTATTTCTTCCATCTTATGTTCTGAAAAACAAAATGACAGCCAGAAGACTATTAAAATGGGCAAGAAAAACTGTTGGAAACTCAGTTTTGATATAGCAAACAAAGGTGAAGGTGAAACATCTAATTTCTGTGCCACCAAACAGAATCATAAAAATAAAATCTAATATGTTATTAAATCATTCTAATATGCTGATTTGGTGGCAATTTTTTTTAAAATTATAACTGTTGAAAACAGTTGTGCTGCTTAATATTTTTGTGGAAACAGTGATACATTTTTTCATGATTCTTGGATGAATAGAAAGTTCAAAAGAACAGCACTTATTTTAAACAAAAATCTTTTGTAACATTATTAATGTCTTTACCGTAACTTTTGATCAATTTAATGTGCCCTTGCGGAATAAAAATATTTTCTTTCCACAAAAAAAACCAAAAAAAACGTAATGACCCTAAACTTGCTGTTTCACGAGAAAAATCATTTTAAAGCAGATATACTGTTAATACAGTTCCTGCCCAGAATGCCAGAGAACTGACCTGTGGCTGGAGTGATAACCAGAGGAGGTGAAAGGCAGGGGGATGCAGATTTATCTGTGCTGTAAGAGGGTCATGCCTGGTATGTCATGGAGCAGATAGTCCTACAGCCAAAAGCAGGATGAATAATCTCTGTCTGAGCAAAGGAGCAGAAAGTCAGCTTTGGGTCTTTGGATCTGCTACTTAAAAAACATTCAGATCAAATGCAAATTCCTTAAAATATTTTTTTTAATACTATTAGGAATTACATGAAACAGTAAATGTCGTACCATTTTTTTTTCTAAACTGATAGACAAGTAGAAGGTATTTTCTGTGATAATCGGTAACGTGACAGTTATAAGAGCAATTTAGGTCGTCAAGTCGAGCTTTATTGTCATTCCGCTACATGTGGGGACATACAGTGGAACGAAATGTCGTGCCTCACAGGACCACGGTGCTACATAAATACAGACATACAACAATGGACTGTAAATATACTATATATAAATAATTACCTATACATAAACTGGAGAGTACAAACTGTACAAATGCTTCACATAAATACTTTACATACTTTACAATTAATCTCATATATTAGTTTAAGTGTGGAGTGAGTGAGGACACAAATGTCATTAAAACAAACAATCTCGGAGACCGTTATTCATTATACAAGACATTAGTGCTTTAAATAGATTTAACATTAGACCCAAGTAAGCTCTAGCCTAGTTCTGCAGATTTTGCCTTTATATCTATGATGGCCTATTAAAGGTCGTATGTGACTATGGCTGTGCAGGTGAAGGTGACAGAAGTGTGTTTGACATGAACACTTCTGGTGAACATATGACATGATCTGCTTTGATTTGTCTCCACCACATGCGCATGCTGCAGTGGAGAACTGATCAAAGGAATGCATGAACATTATAACTGATATAATGTAATAAAATATATATCTTGAATACAATATAAGCCATTTTAGAGTGTCCTCCAAATGCAGTGCATCAATAGCATGCTAGTAGACACAGACAAAAGAAATAAAGGGGTGGTGCTACTGTACTAGTCCAGTTCACTGCTTGGAAATCAGGATATTGAAACTAATCTGGTTCTCTGAAACGGCAAACTGGTTTTGGTTTGTCAGATTCCTACACTCTTGTCAGACAAGGTCAAAGAGTAAAAGACACATGACTTTGCAGAAAACAAGATTAATTTTTTTTTCCCTTTTGTATGGATATTTATTTTTGGACTGTGGTTTAGAGGGATTCAAAGGGAAGTAAAAATGCAGATTTGTGTAGATAAATAATCAAAGTTGCCTTATCTGAGATATGAAATGTTTCTTACTGTTTCCAGTATGCAAGGCATATAACTAAGCACACAAACCCACCAGCCAAATTTACACATAGGAGTATTATTATATAATTGTATATACTTATAATTACACTACAAAAGTTTGGTGACAGTAATTCATTTTTTTATCAATTTCAAAGAAATGCTGTTCTTTCTGTTTATCAAAGGATTCTGAAAAAATGTATCGCTGTTTCCACATAAATATTTATGTTTCAACATTCATAATAATAAAAAATGTTTCTTGAGCACCAATCAGCATATTAGAATGATTTTATCAGACTGAAGACTGGAGTAATGTCTGCAGAAAATTCAGCTTTGCTATCACATAGTATTTATAATAGTATTTCGCTATATTAATTTTATAGTATTTTTGTATTGCATGTTTATTATATCAAATATATGCCTTGGCGAGCATAAAAGACTCTTTAAGAAAACATAAAAAAAAAAAATCTTACTGACCCCAAACTTTTGAATGGCAGTGCTTACAGTATATGGTTACAATGTCACCATTTTAATCACCTTCAAGTAGTTTTGCAGTCCACCTCAGAAACAGTTCTGAAGACTTTTTCAAATGTTCAAAAATCCCATGTAGTCTTTTAAAGGATTAGTTCACTTCCAGAATAAAAATGTCCTGATAATTTACTCACCCCCATGTCATCCAAGATGTTCATGTCTTTTTTTCTTCAGTCACAAATAAATTAAGCATAATGAGGAAAAACTGTTTTGTAAAGCAAAAGAGCCCAGCCTGAAGCCTTGAGCTGCCCCTCCTCTCTGTCTACACTACCATATACAACAATAAATATAGGAAGAAAGAAGAGAAAATAAAGAGGAAGCCTGTAGTGACATGATGCGTGTAATCACAAGGTTTACACATGAAAGATTATTACTTGTCTCATGGTAAAGGATTAGTTAACTTCCAGAATTTAAATTTCCTGATAATGTACTCACCCCCATGTCATCCAAGATGTTCATGTCTTTCTCTCTTCAGTCACAAATAAATTAAGTTTTTTTGAGGAAAACATTCCAGGATTTTTCTCCATATAATGGACTTCAATGAAGGTCCAAATTGCCATTTCAGTGCAGCTTCAAACGGCTCTACGCGATCCCAGCCGAGGAATAAGGATCTTATCTAACGAAGTGATCGGTCATTTTCTAAAAACAATAAAAATGTATATACTTTTTAACCAACATTGTTTATATACTTTGTAAACAACGTATTGCATTAGCTCGACATTACGCATAACGTAGTCATGTTGAAAAGGTCACACGTAGGGTTGCAAAGGGGTGGAATATTTCCGGAAATTTTCCGGGTTGGGGAATTTATAGGAATTCACTGAAACTTTGGGGAAATTTATAAAACTATCATATACAAACATAAATATAAACATTTTGTTTGATCATAGGCTCACATGCATAAAAACTAATACAAATTTAAAAAATGACATTTTGATGGTAGTGTATTGTTAAAAAAGGATTTCTATTTTAAATAAACGCTGTTCTTTTTTTAACTCTTTATTCATCGAAGAATCCTGAAATAAGAATCACAGGTAATAAAAAAAAAAAAACGCTGTTCTTTTTTTAACTCTTTATTCATCAAAGAATCCTGAAATAAGAATCACAGGTAATAAAAAAAAAATATCAAACAGCACAACAAAGTTTCCAAAATTGATTATAAATAAGCATATTAGAAAGATTTCTGAAGAATCACGTGACACTGAAGACTGGAGTAATGATGTTCAAAATTCAGCTTTGCATCACAGAAAAACATTATATTTTAAAGTATATTAAAACCCGAAAACCATTATTTTAAATTGTAATACCAGTAATAATACTGCGCAATATTACAGTTTTGTTCTGTATTTTTGATCAAATAAAGTTTAAAACATTAAAATAGTAATGTTTCCAAACTTTTGACCAGTACTGTAGTTCTATCATAACAGAAAACTGGCTAGCAGAAAGAGCATAAATTGTCAATGAAATAGTGCTAACTCGCTTAGATTTTTAATATCTTGATTTGCTGGCTAGCTAGCTACTGTAAAAACACTTTTTAGTATTTGCTAGTTAAACTTGAATCCCATAGATCAAATATATTTAGAATATCAAAACTTAGATGTAGTCTTTGGGCTCAAATGCAGCAAGTGTGGCTTCAGAGAAAATGGAGGGGAATCCCCCTCTTAGGGGACTAGAGGGGAGGGAATATACACACCATAGGTTGTGTCCTAACAAAATACTAAAGAAGAATCAATACTGTCTGACACATCAAGGTAATGTAAAGAGTTTCAGATCCAAACAACACTTGATCCCACTGACTTTGACTGAATGACAAAAAGAGAGAGACATTCTTCAAATACCTTCTTTTGTGTCCCACACAAGAAGGAAAGTCATACAGGTTTGAAACGACATGAGGGAGAGTAAATGATAACAGAATTTACAATTTTATGTGAACTACCCTATAATTGTATTTGTAGTGGTCATATTAATAGGAAAAATTGTTTTAACAAGGAAAAAAATCTTTTATATTTAATACACTTGAGATGATTACAGTTATAAAGAACTTAGCTGTTACAGTGACTCTAGCAACTGCTTTATCCTCAAGAAAGTCATGATACACCTTGTGAACAAACTAACAATGCTTAATAGCACTCAAACAATGTGCTCGCTTCAAACAATGTGTGCACTGCTATTCATAGAGTACACTCATTCATAAAGACTAGCATGTGTAAAGTGCATTAAGGCTAAATGAGAGAAGTAAACCAGAAGAGCAAACCTGGCCATAAACATGACTTGTGCTCCATTATAAGGTGGAGGATATTGACTAGGATGCACATTTTGTACTCAAATCCAGCTGCACCTTGATGAATGGCGGTTAAAGGCACTGACTTGCCACTTCAAATTGTTGAGAGACCAAGTAGTATGGTTGCATGGACTGAGTCACACTTAAATAACACACAGACCTCCCCTCAGCAGTTATGTAATGGCGTTTTTCTGCAGGTGGTTTAATTACTGTTCCGTTCACACTGAATGACAACTTCTGCTGCAGGCTGCACCTCCCTTGAATCATCTGCTGGATGAAGATGAATATAGCCAATCGAAATGCGGCTAAGGTTTATGCTTATCAGTCAAACGAGAAAAGCAGGCTGCCCCAGTCTGGGTAAAATAACAAACGCCCTCCTTCCTTTACACCGAGCATAAGACACATGAAATGTGACTCTTCTACCATCTTTGTTGTTCCTATAAACTAAAACCCCCAATTCTGAACTATAACACTAAATCGAGGGAGGGCATCGGTTACATTAATATTAACTGGATTTTCACTGGTGTGATCATAGGATGCAGCAGCTGCAAAATGTGAAAGATTTTTTTGGTTACACATGCTGTAACTGATTTACTAGTTCTGTTACTGTGTGGAAAACGCCTGGCTTGCAAACCGCTGTTCCAGTCTATGGTTTGTTCAGTCAGTGTATTTGTTTTTACAATGGTATAGCCTAATTTAGTTGCACAGTATATTACACACAGCACAAGGAAGTTAACATTTTTTTTTTTTGTAATATTCATTTAATTTACATGAATACTTACCAAGATGGACATTTTGATATTTTGTGTGCAGGATTTAAGAAATGATCTGTTCATGTTATGGAGGAAAGCACAGTGCATGTAGGGGGTGTGGCCTCAACAGCCCTGCAGTAAGCAGTGTGCTGTGTGCATGTGATTGAGCAGTGTGTAGGGTAGAAATTAAACTGAAATTGCACTAAATCAGGTTGTTTTAACCAAGATTATGCTGCAAGATTTTGTTCTCAACTACATTTAAGTCCCCAG